ACAGCTCCAACTCTCTCTTTGATCAGCCTCCCTGAACTTCCTGTCCAGTACAAGATCAGAAGAGACCGCGCAGTCCCCAGCAGGAGCAGATGTCCATCTACTAGCCTGGAGGAGGTCGGAAAGAGGACTGGATTGCCTTGCCGTGTCTGTATATTTGTGGAGACACACACAGCTTACTTGCACACACAAGGGTGGCTCCATAGGACCCTGCAAGGGAAAGGAGTCACCCTAAGGGTTAGTTCACACCAGAAACTGATGCATTTTTTCCCTGCATGTCCCTGGATGATGCCACAATCAATTTGTATGCAGTCAGTTGCGTTTTGATGCGTTTGCACTGCGTTTTGATGCTTTTAGTGCAGTTAGATGCAGGTAAGATAGGACAAGCAGTACTTTTTCTGACTGCATCTGAACGGACTGCAATGGTGTGAATTAGGCACAAGAAAGCCCATAGGAAAGCATTGGGATGTATTTTAACTGCAGCAGTTGAAATAAACGGACTGCATATGGTGTGAATTGGCCCTTATACAGGATATCAGGACCAGTGCTCAGGGGACCAGCTGATTCTATAGAAAGCTAAAACTTTTAAACATCGAGGAGCAGCATCCAATGTAAGTGATTTCATCCTTAAAAACATTTGACTTTAATATCACTTTACATCCTCTGTGCTCGTTATGGTGAGAAAAACGAAACTTTTCAATTCTGAACTGTGATTGACAAAATGTCTGCTGATGAGATGGTTGCAGTTTCCTACCAATCACATGACCCGCCCTGTAGTCATGGTTCGGATCTGGAATTCCCCGGCCCAGCTTCTCTCAGCATTTTACTTTCACTTTCTCCCATTGTGTCTCTCAGATCTCCAACCTGTTCAACTTCCGTCTGCCCGGCAACTGATGATCATCGATGTATGAATTTTCCTATTGGATGAGAGCTAAAATCCACCCAATCAGCAGTGTCCTGAGTACAGAGTCTCTCCCGCCTCCCTTGTACAGAGTGTCAGTAGGTGTAGCAGACATAGAAGAGGTGACAGCCTTGTTCGGGGTCTGCGCTGGAGATGGAGGTCTCGGTGATCGCACTGATCTCTATGATTGTCATAGGAGTCCATTCTGGTGAGTAAAGGGTCAGGTATATGGTGTGCTGGTGGAAAGCCTGTGTTATGTATATGATTTGTGCTATCTATTTATTTATCGTCATCGTCGATCTATTATTTCGGTGTTAGAATTAGCTATGGTCTTCACAATGACTCTACGCAAATACAATCTTTTTAAAGACTTCCTGATTAAAAATATTTTTTTTGGTATTTTTAACAAAGAAATGGAGACCTAATTCCACAGCTTAGTCAGAGTTGGGGACGGCACACAGGTCAGAGGTGACACAATTCCAGGGCTCAGTATAAATGGAGGTATTACAGATATATCTATACTATCAGAGTTATTAGGACACCTCGGGGAGAGATCTAACCATTCATAACGATAATGATGCATGTCCTCCATCTCACCAGACAGTTCAGCGGTCAGGAGAGCCCAAGAGATATAGAAATACAAAAATCTAACGACAAGTCTACTGTATTATCTGTGAGATAACAAGGAGAGATCAGAAGGAAAGAAGTCCGAAATAGAAGAGCCAGGGAGGGGGCATAGGGAGGGAAGGGCTGCCCCCGGGACCACCAGCTACATATGGCGCCAGCATTGACGGGGCAATTAGAGATCAATGAGTCGCTGGTCCAGGGACGGCGGTTGTAGAATATTCATTCACGGCTCCCAAATCTCAAAAAGGTTTATTTTATGGAGTCCCAAGTAGTAGTGTCCTATGTAACATAAAACAGTGTGACGTGTTATATTGCGGGTTCTGGAGTAATCCAAAGACAGGTCATAGAGGTTATTCTCACTTAGATTTATTTTCTTTAAAAAATATATATTTCTCTATTTCTGGGTCTCGTTGTATAACTCTTCTCTTAGTATAACGCACATGGCCACCGTGCATCCTCCCCTTAGAGTTATATAAAGTTTTTACCTTTATTTACTCTATTCAACTCTTTTTTTCCTCTTTCCTTTTAGCACCCGTTCCATTGTAGAAGGAGGGACTTCATTTCCTATTTACAATTCTATTGACCATTGTAATCCCTTTTCTTTTGCCTTTATTCACTTCTATCTATCAAATCTCTCTTTTCCCTCTGACTCATAGATCCCTGAGCACCCATGACCAACATGTTTCACCCCTATTCGGGCTTCATCAGGGGTCTGTGCCAACATAAAACTGCTAGTGCTTCTGTGCCGTCACCGGGAAACCAAACACAGATATGTGATAGATATAAAATAGGAACATTTCATGTAAAGTGTCTGATCAGAGGTGGAGGTGTAGACATGAAGGTGAGAGGCAGCAGAAGGGGTCTGAGCTGTGTGAGACGAGCTGCTAACACACATTAAAGGACACGGTGTAGGCAGATCTGATATCTATGGGAAAGGTTTTAGTCCAGGAAGTTGATGGCGCACTGAAGATCGAGCTGCACTTATCAGAAGTAAAGGAAATCAAAAAAGTATGTAGAGCCCAAACTTTATTTGTTTTAGAGAGAGTAGTGAAGGGTTAAACCCAAACTGGGGGATTTTTTTGCAGTGTGTGTCCCTGTAGGGAGATTTCCCTTCACTTCCTGTCCTAGTGACACAACTGGAAATGACAGAAAATCTCACAAATGTGAGGGAACATGTGTCCCTTAGGGCTTGTTTCCATCAGAACCAGACCATAACGTTTTTTTAAACGCACCACAAATGTGTCCCCATGTATTGCTATGGTATTTTAAGGCTGTAGTTCCCACCAGCATGAACGCACTGGAATGCAAGGGGAAAAAAAACTACTACTGGTCACCGTTGATAACCTAATCAGCATTGTACACTTCCTTTGTGGAAAAGGGGCTTTTTACCTGCACATTGGTGGACTTCTCTGTGTCCTGCAACCATGGCGGACAAACATGCGGACACAGATGGGTTTGTCTCTTATGCACAAGAATGTCCTGAGCTTTATGACCCAGAACACCCGAGATTATCACACACAATGCCGAGACAATGCCTGCATTCCATGGCGCCACATTTGCTCAACTCCTGTGAAAGTCACAAACACATGAAAAGCTGAGAAAAAGCAGGAAATGACCTAAAATACATAATCTGCATGCAAAAAAAAAAAATGCACTTGAACGTGTCAAATATGTGTCTAAAATGCGTGCAACTGCGTTTGCAACAAATCGTTCCAGAGCTGGTCTGGTGATGGTGGAAACAAACCAGGAGGCTGCACTGGGAGATTTCCCCTCACTTACTGCTCTGACAACTCTAATGTTTTGGATTCCCATTACTCTTTGTCTTGGTGACAGTGGTCACCGGGGAATATAGGAAGGTTAAATCTTCCCAGCAGGGCACAGGTAGCAGTAACAATGTGTCAGGGGTCATCCAAAATAAAATTGTCTTTACTGTATATACACTTCAAGGCAATATTGGAAAGTACGGTCCAAATACAGGCAGGCGGGGGGCTAAATGATGCTCTATGTGACTGGCTGCAGCTTCTGATGCACATTGTGAGAAGCTCGCAGTGTGCAGTGAAATCAGAGGAAGCCATTTCAGTCCATGCGAGGAGCCGCTACAACTGCAAGACTGAAGGGGAGGCCAGAGTTCAGATATAACCCGATCGATGACGTGATTATCCATTCATGCGTTTCAATGAGCCGGGTCCGAGGCCGACCCTCAATAGCAGATTAGGTGGTTACAGTTCCGTGATCACAGCCAGAGCTGATCACTGTGATCGCAGAGCCGTGACAGGTCACAGAGCTGTCAGCTGTGTTTATTATTTTGTTACAGTCTTTATTTATAACATAAAGATCATCCAATCAT